AGAGAATTCAACATTAATGAATCAATGTTACGGAAGTGGAGGAAGCGCAGTTTTTGGCTTTCCCCATATTTCAAAAGTGCTTCATCTCTTTGCTATGACTGTTGCCCGGCATAATTTGCAAATGATAATGGTTGTAGCCGCTGCGACGCTTTCGGCCAAAACAGGCGCAGCTTGATGACATCATCAACGTGCGCTATCGCGGTAGAGCAGTATAGTCAAAATCTCTATTGTTGGCCAAATTTATCTCGTTTCGATTGTATATCATTTATATCTCCCACCCCTAACTCAAACTGATGTAACTGGATAATAAGGGGGGTAATAATGTGGAAATAAAGGCATCCCAGTGATAGTAATAGTATAGTAATAGTAATTAGTAATAGTAGGATAATACCTTGGTAACAACATGATAACCTGCTAGAAATAAGAAGGTAATCTTCACATTTTTATACAGAGTTTAAATTGTAATAACCTCATAATAATAATGTAATTTTGACCATTTTTTTTACCATATTGGATAGTATTACTATATTATATTCATTGAATTTATTATACCATAGATTTCCAACACCCTGCTGGTTTTAAAAGCAATAATGTAAATATTATGCTGCAAAATTCAAACCCACCTGTTTCTATTTAGTAACATATTAGTAACCATGTTAACAACCTTTTAAAACAAACGAACAGGACCACCTTTCACAGCATATTTTATATCTGGATGACAACACGTAACATGGTAAAAATATTTCAGGTAGGAAGGAAAGTGATCATGGAATGCATATTTCAAATGTCCAGTATACAAAAATAGGATCTCATCCATGTTCTCCCGCTTATCCAATTCAGGTTTGTAGGGGGGCTGCGCCGTCTTCTTCACTGATCTCTAACCGTCCAAAGATCCAGCCTCTCTTGCAGCAAGTAGCACCAGACTGCCCACTTGCATACTGTAAATGAGAAGTTTTGAAAGAAGAATAATGTTAAAGCAAGCATGATGTAATTGGCAGTTCTTTGAGCAACCATTTCAGAGATACTGATTGCCTTATTAAAAAGAAAAAAAAGAAAAAATCCACTATTATAATTTGTGTATACAGTAAAATAATTAACTTATCTTTTTTTCTTTTCTTCCCAAAATAGTATATTGGAACACATTTGAATATTTAATGTGTATTATTAGAAATAAACCACAGCAAAATTCACTAGGGATGGATAGCTATATTCTGAGTTCACCACACCTCTAACACTCTCACCTAAACTGTTGAAACTGGAGTGCTTAATTTTTGGGTGAATACTTTAAATAACAGTATAACTAACCACATCTAGTTCTTTGTCAGTATTTTCAATAATTGTCAGCTATTTTGAGAAACCTTACTTTTATGCAACCTTAGTTTTTATTCTGTTAGTCAAATAAGCTAATAGGATATGGTTTAAGTTAATAAGTACACGGTCCCAAATATAACTATAACTATAAAATCACCGACATTACCTTCTTATTTCTAGCAGGTTATCATATTGTTACCAAGGTATTATGCTACTATTACTAATTGGTTTTGCTTTAAACAATGTTTTGCAGTGAATCTCACTGCAGATGCTGGATTTGTTCTAATCGGATTTATAAATTCTAAAAGAGTTTTGAACTGAGTTTTTATGTGTCTCACACATCAGAGGGTTTTACATTCCTCTGCGCTTGTCTTGTCTTACAGTGCATAAGGAGAGTTATTTTGCTGCAGACTACCACAGCCTAAAGCCACCCTGCCAAATCGGGGACCATGTCTGGAGCCTACGACGAGTCCGCCAGTCTGGAGGAGACCACAGACAGTTTCTGGGAGGTGAGACAGCTAGGAGCAACATTTGACAGATTAAACTCAACTGGGAAGTGACACGACCTAGTAATGAACTCTCAGTAAACCTACTTTATCTGAGAGAAAGATACAGGGCCTCATTTGTCAGCCGTTTGGAGATTTGCACGTAAATCAGTCAAGTACTTGCCACTGCGCATAGCAACAGATTTATCGACCGGGCTGGATCACTGAGCTGCGGGTGCCTCAAACTCAGATCAGAAAATGACGCACACATTTCCTCAGCATGACAAATTACTCTATGTTGGTGCCATTATTTCTGATTGACTCGATTTATCAAGCCACATCTTGTATTATGGCACAGTTAAAATGAAAG